TTTTACGTAAAGATCCCGAGCGAGCTAGTGGGGGTGACCTAGTCTTCATTTTGCACCACGACTTGCAGTATCATCTTATCGATGGCGACATGGACCGCGGGGATACTACCCAGCCAGGTGATGTCGAGTTCGAAATATTCAATATATACTTCTCCCTAATCATTTGTTGCCCACCAGGATATCACCTAAACATACATATGTAGATGCGATGCTTCATGATGAAAACCGATTGGTACACACACGATCGTAGTTGGCGGAACAAATAGACGATTCGACATTCTGCGCTATGTGATCCCGCCATCCCTGATCTCAACTTGGAAACTCGTCAACTGGTAGACCAAGATAAGCTGACGAAATAGGTAGAGCACCTGGAGTCATGCAATCTTTCCGCCGGAGTGAACAAGCTTAGGAATACTGTCAAATACCTGTCCAATTCGAGAAGTTCCGACGATAACCGTATCGAAATCCAATTCGATAGCCGTGCCTCCTCGGACCCGAAGAATTGCGCGAAATATTTTAGCCGACCGTTTATATTTATTTACGATTGCGGAAAATGCCGAAATACTGCACCTTTGCTTTCACCAACGAGGAGGCATATATTTTTTGATATTAAAACAAGTTCAACGGAAGGATGGTACCTTTACTGAAACCTGAGAAGCCTGCCAACCCATGGGAGTCTTATGGCCCAATAACGCTGCTTTCCCTAGTATTGCAAATATTTGAGGCCTTGCTACTCCCGGCCTTTATACACCAGCTGAGCCTAGCGGAACACCAGAACCACCACAGCACTTATCGTTATAAACGACCAGATATCTTATGGCCTCAACCAGAGATTGCCTTGTGATTGAGCTAGTAGCGTAGGTCTTGCCGAAAGCTTTTGACACAGGCAACTATACCTCGCTGCTAGAGAACGTCGAACTACCAGGACTTAAGAGATGGACCATGAACTAGGGTTAGTTTGAACTAAGTAATAATTACAGCACTACAGCAACTGCTTTGTAACTTTGGTAATACTCTGCTTTAGTGCATAAAAAAATGCTTGTCCATTTTTTGTATAAATTGCGCCTACAAGAGAAGGTAGGACGAGATGTTGTTGACAGTGTTGTAAAAATTTGCTGAGAACGTGATACTTTGATCCTGTTATTAAGATTACCACCTCGAATGCACCCCTATCTAAACGGCCAACAATCATCGACATTATTTTGAGGTGAACATTCTATATTAGAGAGAATTAAACGGGGAGTTCTCCAGGATGCTGCCCTCTACCCGAAAATCTTACAACTATCAGAAGGGGTTTCTATAACATTGCACGGGAATGTTATTAGTGGACGCCGTAAACAGTGGAGCTATTAACTCCTTCATTGACTCCGTCCCAGTAAACGGCATACTTGGAGTCCAAACCAACCGCAACAGCTGGAACCCGCCGAAACAGCTCGTTTCCTCCACTTACTGTTGCTCTGAAGCGTTTTCGTCAGCATCCAACGACCATATTGGGATGGAATAGTTAAGAACCGACCGGCAACATACAAGCCAACAATATTTCTTCGTCTTTTTCCCATGTGCTGCTGGCTAGTGTCTTCAATATTTTGTTGCTGGCTGTGTACTTTAGCAGTTATCGCGGTTGTATGAGGAATTAGGGAGCCCAGACCATCCAGTATCACACCTAAAATCTTTGGAGGGTCAAATCACGTCAAATGGTTCCTGAAAATTCCGCAAAATCACCGATTTTGAAAATTTTCTGTTCATTAGGAGAGGATACCTCGTGATATAAATATTTCGACAAAATTAATTTTGTTGTTAATATTACACAGTACATCAGCTAATCTGGGGGGTGAAAAATTCCAAGTTAGGGTTTTGGTACTAGGTCAGTATAGTAAAACCCTCAAAGGTTTTCGCATTCGTATGTGTCAGTTTTTTCTTATGACCTTTTAAATTTTTTCCCTATCTTGATGTTTTTTCGCTTAGTTGTAACATAGTAGGAGCGTGGATTGTTCAAAGTTCTCAAGTAGCGTTGTGTGGTTGACATGTCAAACGCTCTCAGGGTGGTTTTTGGTTGAGGCCATAAACTATGCGGACGCTTATGAACTCATCTGAAGCTAAATTGTTCTAATATCAATTCCACCGAGTGGAATTGAAAACCGTAATAGGGGTATAGCCACGATTACTTTGGCGGTTGGGAACTGACATGAATTCCCGTATAAACGGGGTATGTGCTGATTGAGGAGCTTCTTCAGAGGAATATGTACAAATAATGTTTCTAATGCTTATAATTTTAAATATTTCATCAATCATCAACAACATTCCTTTATTCGCAATGATAATATTTATGTTACTACACACATACATACATACATATTACACACAGAGTTTATTTTCTTTTTTTATTCATACCGCATACATATATCTGTCAATATGTGAGTTATGGCAATGAAAATAAGAGAGCGTGTTTTGCTCAAGATATTGAATCTTTGTCCCAACATAGATAAATTTTAATGAAAACTTGGCCTAACCTCTATAATACTAATATCAGGATTTTCAAACAACCGGCTGACTATACTCTATATGGTTTTACACCTTAAAGTATTTCCCTGGCTTCGAGTCTGACAAGTTGCAATGGTATCAAATGTTAGGTTGCACCCGAACTTAGCCCTTCCTTACTTGTTTTAGCTAAAGTAGTTAATTTAAAAATTACTTAGCACACTCATTGCTGAAAATATTAGAATGTTTACAATTATGAAGAAAACGAGCGTTACCACATGTTAAACACCAAATATGAAGGATTTTCAACTTCAGCGTTTCGTTTATGTAATTTCGTGTGAATTTTTTTTTTTGCTAAACTTAGCATCCAGCTGTCAAGGAATGTAAAAACTTCATACAAAAAACAGAAATGGTCAAGAAAGTTTCCTACGGTAAATTTTCTTTTGCTAGGAAGCAGCTCTGAAAAAAAGTACCACTACTTTTTAATAATTTTTTTCAGTGGAATGCGTATTTGGCAATTCTTCTTCTTCTTAACGGCCGTAGATACCGATTATAGCCGAGTTAACCACAGCGCGCCAGTGGTTTCTTCTTTTCGCTACATGGCGCCAATTGGATATTCCAAGCCAGGTGCTTCTCTACCTCTGCTTCCCTCGGCGGATATAGCGTCGAATAGTTTCATAGCTGGAGTGTTTTCGTCCATTCGGACAACATGATCTAGCCAGCGTAGCCGCTGTCTTTTAATTCGCTGAACTATGTCAATGTCGTCGTATATCTCATAAAGCCCATCGTTCCACCGAATGCGATATTCGCCGTGGCCAACGCGCAAAGGACCATAAATCTTTCGCAGAACTTTTCTCTCGAAAACTCGCAATGTCGACTCTATAGCAGGACGGGAATTATGAGTGAATTGGTTTTTGTTTGTCCAGAGAGGACTTTGCTTCTGAATTTCCTACTCAGTCTGAAGTAGCACTTTTGGCAAGAGTTATCCTGCATTGGATTTCCATGCTGACATTGTTGTTGGTGTTTTCGCTGGTTCCAAGATAGACGAAATTATCCATGACTTCAAAGTTATGACTGTCAACAGTGATGTGAGAGCCTAGTCGCAAGTGCGACGACTGTTTGTTTGATGACAGGATATATTTCGTCTTGCCCTCGTTCACTGCCAGACCCATTTGTTTTGCTTCCTTGATATCAATATCATCTCCATTTTTTCCAGAAGCAGGTTGGAGAAGTGGCATGATCGGGAATCGCCTTGTCTGAAACCTCGTTTGGTATCGACCGGCCCGGAGAGGTCCTTCGCGATTCTGACGGAGCTTTTGGTGGTGTGTGTCGATTCTACTTTCACGGGTCTTTTCCAAGATTTGGAACATGGTGAATATCTGGTCGGTGGTTGATTTTCCAGGTTTAAGGCCACAATGATAAGATCCAATCAGTTTGTTGACGGTGGGCTTTAATCTTTCACACAATACGCTCGATGGAACCTTATATGCGATGTTGAGGAAGCTTATTCCACGGTAGTTGGCGCAGATTGGGGGATCTCCTTTTTTGTGGATTGAGCAGAGCACACTTAAATTCCAATTGTTGGGCATGCTTTCGTCCGACCATATTTTAAAAAGAAGCTGATGCATGCTAGTTATCAGTTCTTCGCCGCCGTGTTTGAATAGCTCGGCCGGAAATCCATCGGCCCCCGCCAATTTGTTATTCTTCAGGCGGGTAATTCCTTTCGAACTTCGGAATTAAGGAATCGGGTTCGCCTTCTCCTGGCGTTGTGCGTTCACTGCTATTAAGCAGGCTGGAGAAGTGTTCCCTCCATAATTTAAGTATGCTCTGGGCATTGGTGACTCCGGTCTAGAAAATTCTGTAAGCCGCCGCATTTTTTCTTAGAATTTTCAAGCATTACCCACGTCGGCCAGCTTATCAAGCTCGTCGTATTCACGCATTTCAGCCACTTTGGTTTTCTGTCTGTAAATGCGTCTCGCTTCCCTCTTCAMCTCTCGGTATCTATCCCATCCCATGTTGTGGTCGATGGTAACGTTACGAGGTAGACAGCCTGTTTTCTCTCCGCTGCGACATGGCACTCCTCGTCGTACCAGCTGTACTGCACAGAGGCGGGTCCGATTCTTGTCTGCAACAAGATAGTGGTCCGAGTCGATGTTAGGACCTCGGAGCACACGCACATCTAAAACACTGCAGACGTGTCTTCCGTCTATCACAACATGATCGATCTGGTTGGTGGTTTTTCGATCCGGAGACAGCCAGGTACCAATCCTGGTTTTGCGAAAAAACAATTCCTCAACAGTTGTTTCTTGAAGAAATTCAAAGTAATCGTTAAATTCGTCCTAAATTCGTTAAAATCATTATTATGAAATATAGTAAATTTTGAAATGTTGTATGAAACTTATCAATCATCAACAACATTCCAGGTCATGTTGTACGAATGGACGAAAACACTCCAGCTCTGAAAGTAAACCGCCGAAGGAAGCAGAGGAAGAGGAAAACCTCCACTCCACAACACAATATGAAACGACTGACGCGCTGTTGTTAACTCGGCTATAATCGCGTAAGCGGTGCATACGCCAGTAAAGAAGAAGAATTAGTTAAGAGCTGGAAACCGATCTTTACCTATAAAAGAAAGACTAGGATTTAGAGTAGCATCCCTCGATCTCGAGCTTAAAATGGGTATGTACGGATAGAGAAGATTCTTCCGAATCCTTCCTTCAAATATATGTATATATATTGTTTCCATGGACTTATGGTTTTTAAGATATTTGCTTTTAAAGTTTAAAGATTCAACTATTTAAAATGCATGTTTCACCGGTTTATAATGAAATTGCACAAATTTGTTTAACTTTTATATTCACTACYGCTTCACTAATTCGGTTTTACAGATTTTCTTTGTATTAAACAGGTCAATCTCAAAAAACTTTGACTCGTTATTTAAATTTCCTCAGAAAGCCATTTATTAGTACAATAATAAAATGGTTACAAACAAGCAAAAAATTAGTGTTACCATATTTTGGGATAGAATAAAAATAAGTAAAATATAAAGATTATTACCTTAATACAAAATTCACTAGCGTTTATAATGTAAAATTTTTCAGAGAAAAACTATCGACTTCAAGCTTATCGAAATATTATTACAATATGTTGTGTGAATAAGGATCTATACAGAATTTAGTCCACACAACGCATATTATTCATAATACAACGGGAAAATCACTTCTACAGACACAAGAAGAAGTAACCAGACAAGCAGACTATATAACAACAAAAATTGAACGCAGCGGTAAAACCACGCCACTACTAGCATACAGCACAGGCTTGGCAGAGAGTTAGATGCCCGATGATCTGTCAGTCAGCTCGAAACTGTGACAGCGTACATACGGTGGACATATACCAGACTACACAGTGAGATGATCTTCTAGCTAGTCTTGGTCTCGTTCGTTAAGGGTGAGCTTGATAGTGAGTCGATCCCCTGACCAACTCAACCCTTAACAATGGGGTCGCCAACGCGGTTTTCCATAGTCCGAGTTTTTGCGCAGCTATAGTAAGTGATTCAACAGAACAACGTCTTCGAAGCCTACCAGAGCGCCAGCAGATACAGTCGTGCGGAGTCGTCGTAGCAAACGAGCATCCGCGAACGCCGCAGGACATTGTCACTGAACCGYTACCCTCGGCGCGTATACCTCGCTTCGTTACAATTTTCAAAGAGAAAAGATAATAAAATGCGCAATAGTTTGACTAATTACATCTACCTATACATAGAAATAAAGGCGATTTTTTATCTAAAACTTTTTTTTTTTGCAAATTAACTAGCCAAGAAAAAATTATTGGAGTAAGTTTACAAAAACGACTTGACATTGCTAGCCGTGATATTACACTATATCTGTTTAAGATTAGTGGCACTTAGTACATACATACATTAGAATAAAGTTAGACAAAAGAAGCTTAATAAAATAATGAAATGACTTTTTTATAGTTGCAGCTGCTTGTTGGTTTTCCAAATACATTTAATCAAACCGGTGTCTTCGAAGCTGCATGATGAAAGAGAAGTTTTGCTAATCTATGACATCGAGATGAAACAGTGAGTAGCGTTTGAAAAAAAGTGAGCTTGTCACAAATAGCTTTCAACTAACGATTTTTACTAATATAATATTTTTTTCTTGACTACAGTTACGCAAAGGTTGTGTGATAAATTTAGGCGCTATTCTAACAGCATTTAATAAACATTGGAGCACAACACAAACGGCCTATATCTATATATGACTACAAGCATATCGTGCGATTTAATACATGAAATGATAAGCCTACACCGCCAAGTAACAATACCAGGGATAATGGGATGCCCAACTTATTCCAGTGTGAGAGCGMATCAAAATAAGCGTTTTTTATAACATTTTCCATTATGGCCAGATCGCACCAAATAAGAATTTTTGGATATTTTAAATTAACATACCCAACATTTATTACGATTGCAAATTATTATATATTGGACTTTTAATATATGGCGAAACTACTTAATTCCTTTTTTAGGATTTTATGGTATATTAAAACAACTGACTCTCGATATTTCAATACTTAATAAGGTGAATTAAGCCTGTTAGTTCTCAATTAATAAATGTTTTTAATCATTTGTAATAGAAWATTAATTCTATTATGCATCAAATTACAAAACGTTTCATGATATATATTTAAATTTCGCATTATCTTTGATTTTTATTGTTTTAAATTTTTATTAGCGATCTTGAACGGCKGCAATAAATTCCTCCATTCACATATATTTTTGGTATAATTTCAATCTGGCCGTTCCAGTCATTCCAATTGCAAAACGTCAAAACCTACTTAATCCAGTCAACTGTCAAAGTTCGGTAGGTTTTGACGTTTAGTAACTTCCAGTGAGAGAGGAGTTGGGCATCCCATTATCCCTGAACAATACCATATGTGAGAGATGATAAGCAGAGAACGTATATTTATAGCAGGAATAATAGGATGCCCAACTTATTCCAGTGTGAGAGCGCTTCAAAATAGGCGTTTTTTTATAACATTTTCCATTATGGCCAGATCGCACCAAATAAGAATTTTCGGAAATTTTAAATTAACATACCCAACATTTATTACGATTGCAAATTATTATATATTGGACTTTTAATATATGGCGAAACTACTTAATTTCTTTTTTATGATTTTATGGTATATTAAAATAACTGACTTTCGATATTTCAGTACTTAATAAGGTGAACTAGGCCTATTAGTTCTAAATTAATAAATGGTTTTAATCATTTGTAATAGAAAATTAATTCTATTATGCATCAAATTACAAAACGTTTCATAATATATATTTAAATTTCGTATTTTCTTTGATTTTCATTATTTTAAATTTTTATTAGCGATCTTGAACGGCTGCAATAAATTTCTCCGTTCACATTTATTTTTGGTATAATTTCAATCTGGACATTCCATTCCAGACATTCCAATTGCAAAACGTCAAAACCTACTCAATCCAGTCAACTGTCAAAGTTCGGTAGGTTTTGACGTTTAGCAATTGCTCTCTCATTTCCAGTGAGAGAGAAGTTGGGGATCTCATTATCTCTGATTTATAGAGAAGGGTCACTATGTCAAAAATTATAAATATTCAATTTTGATATATTTGCTGTTTTGGATGAGCGTTTTTCACCACAGAAAATTATTAGCGTGTTTCACCACTTAACATCAAGGGACACGAAAATAGCAGAATTGAGCATTTTCAGTGTGAAATGAGAAAACTTATGCTATTTCCGATGTTAAGGAATGCACGCTTACAGATTCGCATATTTACAATGCGCAAACGACTCTGCATATACATGCATACATATGTATGTACAAATGAAACTATTTCATGATGAATTCCTTAAATCTTAGGAAATATATAATAAAATCATATTTGTATTATTACCTAATTATTTATACATATGTATATGTTCTATATATTTTATATCAAAGCACACAAGCATGTACATATGTACGTACAAATGAAACTATTTCATGATGAATTCCTTAAATCTTAGGAAATATATAATAAAATCATATTTGTATTATTACCTAATTATTTAATTAATAYAGGTTTGATAAGATATATAYRTATGTACATACRATWTGTATTTATATASATACCTACATRCATATGTATTTATTTGCAGGCCTTTAAAAGTTTTGATAACATGTTAAAAGACCAAGCGGTCGCACATATTCACGTATGTAATTATGTGTGCATGTAAACAAAACGAACCATACGGATAATGTTTGTACATTTGTCCACACACAACTTTGTATGTAAATAAATATGTACCTATGCATATTGTTTCATGCGAAATTTCCGTTGACAGGGACAACCAATGGCGAAGCTCCCGTTTTGTTTTTTTGTTGTTGGTAGAAAAACCAAGCTGTGCTGAAAACACAAACGAACGATCGGCAATTGCCACTGCTTCCCTTGCCGTTCTAATAGCTTTACCAACGAATTTGTGTAAATATGTATGCATTTGTATGAGTGTGCATACATATCGATGCAGATTTTTGCAAGCCGCGAAAAATATTTTGCACATTCCTTGACAAATACAGTCAATCCCAGTTATGTGCCACAATCAAAGATACAGATGTTTGTGGTTTGTAAAAATAAAAATATAATATGTCACATAAACGAGTGCGAATACTTAAGCCAGTGGTACTTAAAACAATAATTAGTGTTTCATAAAACAAACCGTGAGATGCAGCATGATATGGGCGGTTAAGAGGGATGATTTTCATTTAAGCGGAATACTGTTGCACCGGGATTCACTGTACACATAAATCAGAGGAATATTGAATATTTTCTTTAGCACATTTCTTGACTTGAAAATCGACAAATAAACTATGTTGTCAATTTTTTTCTATACTTATATTTGCGGGGTTGTCGCTTTTTCCTTCTCATACAAATGTCAGAAATTGTTCATTTTATGATTTTTAGCTTTTGCCAACGTCGAGAGAAGACGCTTGTTGGCAAAGGCATGCTCGGGGAAATGTAATGGTATTTGTTTTTTTGAATGAAGCAAGTTTGCCTGTTTAAAGTGCGCTTGCGTTCATGAATGAAAATATTGTTGTTGTGTGTTTTTCTACAAATTTGGGCRTCGAATTGGCTGCCATATTGACTTGTGACGCTGCTGATGCTATTTGAGACGTTTGTTGTTTTTGTAGAACAATATTCGTAGTTTTTGCCTGCGACATACGCATATAAATTATGTATGTTGTCTATGCATTATTTGTGTGGGAATGTCATACGCACATATTTACATGTGTACGCATATAAGTATGTTGGTTTGTGTATGCATTAATTGTCCGGCAATGTCGTACACATATGCATATGGATGTATGGATATACATATAGCAGCAGTGCACGCACACTTTTTACTGATAAATGATAATATCACGATCTGAATTTGAATTGCACTTACATATGTATGTAACTATGTGCTGATATGTAGATACGTATGAAAATTGAAATGAAATGCGATTTACATATAATATTATTGTAATATATTATAAGTTGTTTAGGATATTATGATAGTATGTCATATATGTATATATATATATAGCATATCTACGTACTCATATGTAAATTTATAATATATTATCAAACATATGAAATATTTAAAAAGTAGCTCTTCTTTGTACATTAACTACAAATGTTACTTTGAAAATAGCATAATTTAATGATGAAGTTATCAATTTTGCATGCATTCACAAAAACTCGCAAAATGATATTCAATATCAATTAATATGATTGCATATATGTAAACGTATAGAATTATATGTAAAAGGCTAACATACGTCTGCAATAGAAATGTATATCTCTGAGCATAATTTTCATTGAATACTCAGCTCTGTTCACGCTCCACTGTTAAGATTTCTCCTTCTTAGCTGGCTGTGGTGAAACGCACTCATCGCATTTTGTTAGCTTTTGACAGTTTACACGCCTGTCCGTTTTTGGACCTTCTCTATAAATATACGTTCTCTGTGATAAGTCCCAAGCAACCATCACAATAGAAACAGTAGAAAACCTTTTCGTGGTAGCTTTCTGAAGGGTGAATAGCGGCCATTTAGGATTTTCAGCTGTAGCAACGCAATGTTATATATATTGAGGTAATAAATATAAGTCAAAAATTACAAATATTGTTATTTAATATATAGTAAATCAAAAATGATTTATTTATGATATATTTTTATTAATAGCAGAGCCAGTGAAAAACGCTACTGCCTTCCTTCCCTTTCCTTCCTCATCGGCAAAATGTGTGAGCAGAGAAAACGTGGCAAAAACGCAGAATTCAGCCATCTTTGTTTGTTTTCATTTGCACAATGTTGCTATTGCTCAATACGCATATATAGTTTTGTATACATCTATGTTTTCAATTACAATTTTTTATAATATAAAATATCAAAACTGGAAAGAAACTATTAAAAATAGTTTATATATTTATAAATAATAGCATTCGACTCTGATTTTGAGTTATTATAAGATAATTTCAAACATATTGAACAGATTGAATTATAAAAGTTGATAATTACTACAGTGGATAGATATTTGAAACCCTGGGTTGTGAGAGAGCAATCAGCTGACACGTTTCCACGGCCAAAACCAAAATGCTGTATATTCCCACGTCATCCTACGTCAAAGAGACAAGGGAGTAGCGTTTTTCACTGTGCACTTACATTGCGCGCTCATAAGATAGGTCGTATCAGCTGACACCACCCACGATTCTACGTTTTTCACTGTTCCTGCTATAAAAGATGATTTAAACGTCAAAGTGTGCTATATTTCGTCCTTAAAACATTGATTTCTCGATAATCAGATATTTTGTAAGTAGTGAGTTGTATCCCTGGTGTTGGATTTCTCGTGAGTTTATACGGCTTTATTTGTTTACATTTGATCGACAGAAAACATGAAAGGTGCTGATTTCCTATGGTAATCTGGTTTTTTATCATTAAATTTGTTTATTTTATTTACATAAATTATTTGTACAATTATATTCTTACAGGGTGGCGATTGAATGATAGGGAATTTGAAATTTCTGGAATATTCAGGAATTTTAACTAGGGTCAGGGAAATTTGTAATTTATTTTTTATTATGTATACAGCATTTTAAACATTTTCATTAGAAGACTAAGTTCCTCATTATTCCATCAGCCGTTCAATGTGCTGTGATTGGTTGTCTGCTGTCTACAACAATAGAAGAAAACTTCACTCCGACATATATATATGGTTATAGTGGTTATATTAGATAGTTTAATTTAAATGTCTTCTTTTGATTATTATAACTATTAAACTATCTTTATTCGTCGATTTAGTAATAGTTTTTTTATGTGAAGGTAAAAAATACTTCCTTTCTAAGATTTC